GAAGCGATCTTAATAAACCTTTTATCTCTCGAGCCAGATCTCTATTCCTTTTTTGTTCATTACATGCTTCAAGCGCGTTAGGCGCAAGTAACCACATTCATCATGGAGCCTCGAGCGCGTGCCGGCAAGAATGTCGGCAAGATGAACTTTAGCCATGCAGAGTGTACGTCTTGTCCCGATCGCTCTCAAGATCCTCGTTTGCTGATCCTATAGAAGTGGCACAGCTACTCTACGCACACGGCGACGTTCAAAACCCGCTCCCAGAAACCGTGCGGGTACTCGACGAAATCCTCACCGATTTCATGCAGTCCATCGCCTTCGAGGCGACACGAGCAGCCAATTACTCAGGCCGCCAAAAGATCAAATACGAAGACTTTGAGTTCGCGTTCCGTAAGAATCCCGCGTTCCTAGGCAAAGTTCAAGAGGTATTCGAGAAGCAAAAGGAGATCAAGAAGGCTCGTGAGATCCTGCGCGATGGCGAGGACGAGATCATGAAGGATGCTGCGGACGAAGAGAAGAAGCGAGAAAAATCCGACACAAGGACTGGAGGAGCAGTGGGAGCCGCGACATCAAGGGTCGAGGAGGAGTTGGGTGAAGCTGACGATGATGCTGAAGCGGAGCTCGACGCGTTGGGTAAGAAGCGTTGAAAGAAATCGAGTAGAACCGGGCTGCTACGATTGGCGTTCTACCACCTGATTCTATTTTGGCGTTCAACAGAGATATTGTTATGGGTTGGGAAGGCGTTCAGAGCATACTATTGTGGATTGGGTTGGAGTTACAGTCAGGGACCAAGCGAAGAGACATTCCTAATAAATCAGAGGAATCCCATGCTGTTGGGTGGGTTGCATTGGAACAGTCGAAGCCTTCTGGGATCTTAATAGCTCAGAGTCTATAGACACTAAATATTGAGGTTTTGATCGACTATTTCACGTCCAACCCTCAGACGAGTAACTGCCGATCCAAATCGAGGTGTTTATCCGTTGTGATATCCACTGGCATGTATAAACGAATAACTGGATCTTAAATACGATTCAGGGAAACTATAGATCCTTTCGAGCTTAGAGAACACTATACCTTATATGCGTACTGATTTATCACCGGGGGACCTACGTCCTTACCATGAAAAGCTGATACTAAAAACCGGCGATCGTGTGGGAGAATTACACCTTTAGCGGGGTCACAGTAGCCTCAAGAGCCATTGCATGTGTCACAGTTGTGGTGTCGTATATTTAAATAATCTGATAGACGATACTTATATGTGGGCATTCAAGGGCACCAGCTCGGTGCTGCTTTCAAGATCAATATCACTGGCATCCTCCACGAGACCAACCAAATCAGGGCTTGATAGTAGAGATGTCTTGGTTGCGAGTCTGAAGTGTGATGCTGTTTGGGACCACTCACGAAGATTCAACGAACGAACCAGAATCTGAAATGCAGTGACAGCGGGCAAGGGACGTCTGATAAGTCAAAGACTCCATCCCGAGGAGAAATTGATGGGAAATAGAGGTATAAATAGTATGAAGGGGTCTGCTGACTGGCTTGTAAGTGATACATCCAATGGGGCGAATACCTACCTAGGTATATTGAAGGCCTACAGGTATTCAGCGGTCCATGGCCTCATAGTTAACTCAGTATGGGGTCATGTTAGGCTTCTAAATTCCACAGACATTCTAACTCGGCATGAACTCCATATGTGCAAGGCACCCACCAGCAGTGTAGAGTGCAGACTCTGCATAATTCACTTATGCCTACCTAGGTAGTCTTTCTCTCCATAAGCCGAAAGTCGCAGATTGACTTTTGAGACAGTGATATATATCACTGCGTGGAACTACATGGCAGTGTACTTACGGAATACAAATCTAGATGTCACCAAGTAAAGTCGTAGATGAAACCAAGAAGGGATGGGGATGATGGAGGTGACGGCACTATAGCGAGATGAGTTGGAGCACCCGAAACATGTAGTTACTGATTGAACTCTTGATTCACTTAGTCCAAGAGACGTGGTCAAGAATATGTGATATGTCTGATGAAGCTGGAACTTGCTGCCTTCACAATGTTCAAACCAGCTATAGTTCGCGAGCACCGTTCGTCGAAAACACGGCTGCGGCTCAGAACCTGTAACTGAAGCGACAAGTTGGCCCAAGGCCTCAAAAGCACGACAAGCCTCTTCTCGAACTTTACATGCTAATTTTATGTTCGGAAATGTAATGAGAACTTACCGCCCTATATCTCCACTCTTGTAATAACACTGGATGACTCTACTGTTGAAATAGTTGGCTAGCCTTTGTAACGGCCGTAATCGTCCTGTCAATTGCGGTCATGACTCATTTCGTGCATATCAAACAGCCTCAAATATGATGGTTGAGCCCTGCGTATGCTGAATTATCTACCATTTGTATATTCTTGTTGAGGGCGACTAGAATCTCGGGAGGATTAGATGGCTACCTAACTATTGACCAAGGTGGGTAGCAAGGCAAGTTTCATCCTTATCTAGGTATGCTAGAACTACCAGACATCACAGCCAATTTGTCTGGGGCCAGAAGATGATTGTAACCGGGTGGATAACGAAATGTTGTCAATAATCGAGGCAGAGTTTACCTATGTATCCTTCAACAATTAATAGCGGAAATAAATGCGATATTATTCCCGGACCCATCATCACTTCTAACCGTCCTGTCCGTTTCAACTGGACCTGACCTAACCTAACCTCACATCTTCATCCTCGGCCGACTTAACCGATACCGAAATCGGGGCGAGATAGGGCGCAGTTTTTCTAGTTGCAGAGCCAAGACGATGCAAGTGGTGGCCAAAGTCACATCAGCATCTTCTAAGCGCCCACTCGCTGACTTTTGAGGCCCTCGCCACGCAAATCTCTTTTTCTTTCTGCTCGCGTGCCCTAGCAATTCTGCCGGTTTTGCTCTTTATTATCACTGATGATGAACCAAATAAAAGGGTTCTCACAGAACTAACGGGTGCTCGTCCAAACAAGAGGCTCCCATTTCGTCATCAGGGGTCTTGAAGAGTTAACTGCCTACCAGGGTCTAGGTATTAGTGCACTCCACCCCCACTGCGAGATACTTGCTCTTGTTGGCTCATCGGTTGGTTAATGTGAGAGAAGAGAGCAATAGAGGATCCATGATCGGTGGGTTTGGGCTGCGGGGTGGTTGGTTATCAATGGTTGACGCTCAAAGAGTCGTCGATCCGGAGCTTTTTCCCTACCCAAGCAGATACTGTACCTATTTGTAACAAACCATTTCTATTCGCTTCTCAACTGTGACTCTGCTATTTCTTCTTACTGTGCCGTATCTCGTCGTTGACTGATCGTGACAACCTCATGGACTAGAAATAGCTTGTTACTATCCTACACTATGAATCCAACTCCCCCGCCGTATGAGGAGGTTCCTCAGAGCAAATTGTTGCCTGGGGATACCGATGAATCACATCAGCATCTGTTACCACCTTCGTCATCGCCAAACCTCTTGTCTTCAAAAGTCGATAGTTCGAGTTTTGATGACTTCCGCCGAATGTCATCGAGTCCATCTCCATGCCCCTCACCAATACCTCTAAGGCAATTCTCACAGCAAGGAATCGATTTACCAGCCGAAACGCCACCGTCGAAATGGAGGCAGTTCTGGATGAAGAATAAGCCCGCTGCCTACGTTGCTCTATCCCAATTCTTCGGGGCACTGATGAATCTCAGTGCTCGTTTGGTCGAACTCGAAGGCGACGGCATGCATCCCGTTCAGGCCCTACTGATGAGACACTCTATCACAGCACTGTTTTGCTCGACTTATATGTGGTGGAATAAAACCCCCGACTTTCCCTTTGGAAAGAAAGAGATTCGATGGCTGCTGTGGTTGCGAGGAGCAAGCGGTTTCTGGGGTATTTTTGGCGTTTGGTATTCGATGATGTATATCTCACTCGCTGATGCTACTGTTATCACATTCTTGGCTCCTGGTGTTGCAGGCTTTATCTGCTGGTTTGCTCTTCGTGAGCCCTTTACTAGAATCGAGCAACTTGCCACGTTGGTTGCTCTTCTAGGTGTTGTACTGATTGCTCGACCGGCCTCACTATTCTCGAGCTCTGATGGTGACAACTCGACTACCGAACCGCCCGAAGCTAGTGGTATACCAGGTATTGACCATGAAGCCACCCCTGAAGAACGCTTGATAGCTGTTGGTATAGCCCTTCTGGGTGTTCTAGGAGCAGCTGGCGCCTTTACGACCCTCCGAACCATCGGGAAACGAGCACATCCTCTCATCTCGGTCAACTACTTCGGTATCATCTCGACTTTTATCGCTCTATCCATGCTCATCTTTGCCCCCATCCTCGATATTCAGCAGCCAGGTTTGCGATGGGTTACCCCAACTACAGTCAAGCAATGGGCACTGCTGCTTCCCCTGGGTGTTATGGGTTTCATCATGCAGTATCTCCTCACGGCAGGCCTCGGGGCCGACAAGTCAAACCGTGCTAATTCCATGGTTTACACACACATGCTTTTCGCCGCGAGCTTTGATCGATGGGTTTTTGGACACAGAATGGACTTTATCAGTGGTGCGGGATGTACTCTTATCCTAGGAAGCGCTATTGGTGTCGTCATGCTCAAGAAATCACCAGCTGCAAAACAGCCCTTGGATGATGTTGAGAGACACGGGAATTTGGAGGGTGAGATGGAGGGTTCCCCAATGCTTGTGCCGGATTCAGGGGCGGCCGAGGAACTGAGGCTTTCGAGATAGGAGTTAAAAAGTCGTTTGAATATTTGTATGCATGCTTGGCTTAGACTGTCTGAAATGTTAACGTTGGACCATTGCACCTCAACAAGCGCCACACTCTATTTCGACTTTTGAAACGAGTCTGCTCAACTTTATTGTAGGACTTTCTTGATAGGCGAGACAAGGATGAAGTGGCTCATGTGCTCGGTTTATGCCGAACCCATCTGAGTGGCGTTGTATTTCTAGTCTCTAGAACTGCTCATCATTTGTCTAGCCCCTTGTCTTCTTTCACTGGGGAAATGTGAAACTGGGCTCCTCCAATAACTCCATCATTTGCTGACTGCTATTGAACCATTCGCCAAGTTGCGCCGTGTTACCCATCCACATCATCGTGTTTGCTCCTCTCTGGCCATCGGCACCATCAAGCATACTCATATCCCCGAGCGGTTGTGAGAACGCACCAGCCTGACTAGGGTCCATGTGCGTCGATTGTTGAACCCCACTGTTCAGACCTGCTGGTGGTGGAAATCCGAGAGCGGCGAGATAGTTGTTCAGTTCAGCGCTGGCCTGTGTTTGGTCGGCTGGAGGAGTGCTTGTCCGGAACTCTATGTATCGGAGTGCTACTGTATAAAGGACCTGGAACAGGCGATAGGTCTTCGCTGCTGCATCTGATAACTGAATGGTCGTCTCAAGAGATGTGCAGAAGCTATGCAGACGAGCAAGGTCCGTCTGGTCCTGGGTCTCAATGACTTGACAGAACACAACGATGAAAGGAATGAAAGGAGCAAAGAGTAATGTCCTGGTCATGTTAGCATTGTCTCGAGATACCAAGTAAGTATATGTGCTCACCAATGGACATAAGAAGGAAAATAGACAGTATTATCCCGCCCCAATAGATCCATGCAGTCTTGGTGGCGATGCAGTGTTGCACGTGCAGCCTCAATACACTCTGGTATAAACGTCACTTTGGAGTTGGGCGGCCCAGGCGTAGCTCGATAAATCAGAGTCAGAAGTGAAAGCCGAAGAACATCATCAGAGATGAGAACGAAATCGAAGAAGTACTCCCCAAGATTCGTCTTGACTTCCTTTTCGCGGGATTTCTGCAGAGCACACGTTAGAGGTTGAAACATCGGTCATTCACGATTTGGGCTCTTACACTCAGCTCCTTGCTCCTCCTCGAGATATCCTTCAGATCGTTCACGAGCTTTTGGGCACGGAATCTCCTCACATCATCGGACTGTGTCATGGAGTCTGGGCTGTACAGTAGCTCGTATATATGTCCTTGACACCGAGCTGTAGCGACCCAGAGGCAAATGAAGGCTGATAGTGGCGTAGCATTGGGAGGGTTCGAGGTAAGAAGGGGGACGGTGACGTCCCAGTCTTGGATAGTAGAAGCCCTGCCAAGCCTGAGTGAGAGACTCTTGTCTATAAAGTACGTGTTCCAAAATAGAAACTGTTTGCGCTGAGCCTCGCGCGGCTTGTCATTCTTCATGGTTGATATCCGGTGATAACCTAGAGTTTGACATAGTTCGGAGGCTTTACATGATAAAGTCCATGAGAGTGATGGTTTTGAGATCTCAATAGCATAAAATGCCTAAAGGTCTGTGAGCATATGGTATCAAGGGAAATAATAAGGACGGCATACTCCAAGAAGAAGGGCGGAAATCATGTTTGAGGTTGCAGGCAGATGAAAGGGCAAATTTGCCAACGCCGTCTCGGTGTTTTCGCGGAGTGTTTTCATGTAGCCCTCGCACTCTTGTTGCTCTTTTGCGTCTACTGTACGCTGCTGACGATCCATGAACATGTACATCAGGCCAACATTCACAAGGATGAAATCGGCCTCTGAGACATCTTCTGAGAAGTACACATGAAGACACATGCCCGAGAAGCTTTCCATAGAAAAGAACTCCCTTATCCAGGCAGACACTTCTGAGTTCTCGGCTGAAGTCGGTTAGTTCAAAGGTGGCGAAAGGGGGTCCAGATCACTGACTCTCACATTCTCGTATCACGGCGACGGCTGTTTGAATTGGAGGTAGCTCGTTATTCTTTAGACTTGGACGTGGCAGTTGCCTAGCATGGGGATATGACATCTCCGTGGCAGCCGTCTGTTGCTTCAGAGAGCTGACGATGTGATGGAGTGAATCCAAGGTCTCACGTAGCTCGAGACTCGCACCCTGTAAAGACTCTGTACCAACAGCATTTTTGAGGAATTCGTTTGCAAATTCGCCATGAGCAGCTAGGGAAGATTCTCCTTCGATGACCGGGCTGTCTGCAGTTTGCTGAGCGAGATGCCCATAGGGGGTTGAGCTCGAGGCCTGAGCTGGCGATTGGCGGGGAATATCAGAGCTGGGCATGTGATTCTGATTGGGCTGGATGCTTGTAGATGGCATGTTCATCTTCATGTCACGCATGAGCTCGGTGAGGGCCTCGAGACGACGGTCAATGATGTCGATCTTTCTCTCACTACATGATTGTTTGGCCATCAGTACGGGTTACTTCTTGGCGCATACCAAAGCAGCGAATTGTCGGGTAGTACCAAAAGCAAGAGACCCAGGGCAACTTACTACTGGGCTGAGAGGAGGATCCTGGTTCTCTTCTCCTTTGGGCGAGTATCATGGTGTGTACACGGGATCTTGGCGTGGATGCAATGGGAGCAGGGCGAATTCCTATCGCAGCGGATCTACATAGATTCGATGTTACTATTTGGCTATAGTTGTTGAGCCGAGTGAAGCAATCTCAAGTGAGAGCTAGGGCCGTTTGACGATGGCTTCCACTCTTTACCCCAGCCTCTGTGGCTAGTGGACTTTGATGACTGGAGCATTGATGGAGTGGCATGCATAAAGTATTGATTAGATTGATATGTACATACCTTGCGAGTTCGGCATGCATCGCACTAAGATTAAGCAGTGTTAGTGATGAGGACGTGGGGATAGAGACAAGACGAGACAGGACAGGGCAGGACTTCAGGGTCTGTGGACTAACTGCTCGTCGAATAGTCAGGTTAGAGGGATTCTGGGGCCCATCGGATCCCTCATCAGGGCCATCGTCCAACTGGGCCCGAGAATCTTCAGCCATGAGGTTAAATACGGGAATCACGGACACCGTTTGTTTGTTTGTGTGGATGACACTGACAGCCTGGGGTCAGAGACAGACGAGATCCAATGCAATGCAATGAAACAATGCCACAGAAGAAAATGTTTATGGGAAAAGTCACGCACCACAAGCAACCAAACTCACATTGGGGTTCGTTATGAACGACTCACACCGAAGACTCGGGAGGTTCAACGGGACGCGCGGGGTCCGGAAGAATAGAGGCCGTTGGAGATGGGATCCGGATGTGGAGACTCGAGTTTGCGGCTCCCGAGAACACCGTAAATCCGAAAGAGCCAATAGGAAGCGAGAATATCCCGGGGCAAGGGTCTCCATTCAGATAGAAGCCATGATCATGGTCTCATCTAATCTCTGAGTTGATAAAGTTTAGGTACGCGAAGACATTGGCGTAATTTGATGACGATGCAGTCTCACTTGGGAAATAATGCTGCGAAATATCAAGATCCAAGTGTTTATGATGATTTAACCCTTTTGATATCAAGCCAAGACTTCAGCCATGAGATGAGGCATGTGTCCGGCATCATTTCCGAAAAGACCCTGGTTCAACTGAATGCATGGCATGCATGATGCCTCAGTAGATGAATGGCCTGCCTCCATAGAAATGAGACAATGGAGCTTTTATTTACTATGAAAATAAAATAAGAAGTCAGTAAAAGGCATCCTATTAAGCAACAGTATTAAATATTCACAACTCAGCAAATACGCAAACTCTTCCCTCAACCTCCGTGATCGCATCGATAATTTTCGTAGATATCCATTATCAATCAGTGACCCACTTGGGCCACTTTACATGCGGATCTGATAAAAAAAAAACACAAGCTAAAATGCCAAGGATCACCATTCGTTGCCGTCTAAATCTGGTCTACCCTCACTCCACCCCCAGGGTTCATCTCTCAAAAGTTCTCGGGTGCTATTTTCTTCAAAAGCACGCTATCCCCTTGGTAAAAGTCATGCTCTCGTGCCTCTCCTTTCTGGTTCCGTCAATCTATTTCTTTCCTTAAAGCAGGGCTCCTAGCCTGAATATACTGGTCCGATTCTCTGACTCTATATCAAAGTGCCAGATCATCACACGAGTTCACTTCTTTTAGGCGTCAGGATCGCCTGGTGTAATTTGTGCGGCAGATCACCATGGCTCCTAGTATCAACGAGAAGGAGAATGAAAAGGCCGTAGGTGGCAGCGATGCGACCTCAACTCCTGAAGATGCCGTGGTCAACGCCGAGGGCGGCGATGCTCCCAATCCTGGAGAAGATGGAGAAATTGAGGGTTCTTGGGGTGACTACAAGGTGACAAACAGCGTCACAAAACCATGGAAAATACCATACTAACACTATAAAGCGTATCCTCACATATGCAGGCCCTACAGAGTATTTGATGCAAGGCATTGCTCTCATCGCTGCCATAGGTTCAGGTGCCGGTATCGCTCTCCAGAACCTCATCTTTGGACAGTTCATCACCACAATCACCGACTTTACTTCTGGAGATTCTCAGCCTAGCAAGTTTCGAAAAGAGGTTGCTGACCTAGCGTGAGTCCTTCAGAGCCATATCCCATACAACTCTCTCCTAACGTTCATACAAGTCTCTACTTTGTGTACCTTGGCATTGGTCGGTTTGTTCTCTCCTACATCTGGAACGTCTTCCTCACCTACTCCTCTTACCGTATTGTACGCAACATTAGAAAGGAGTACCTTCGCGCTGCTCTTCGACAAGAGGTTGCCTACTATGACTTCGGAAGCGGTGGTTCCATCGCGACGCAGGCTACCTCCAACGGCCGCTTGATTCAGACCGGCATCGCTGAGAAACTCGGTCTCTTCTTTCAGGGCATCGCTGCCTTCCTTACTGCTTTCATTGTCGCTTTCGTCGTGCAGTGGAAGCTGACTCTCATTTGCTTATGTATCGCCCCAGCGACCATCATCGTCATGACTGTTGTTGCTACGATGGAAGCTGTTCACGAAGTCAAGATCCTCGAGATTCACGGCCAAGCCAACTCACTCGCTGAGGGTATCCTCGCTAGCGTGCGCACTGTTCACGCCTTTGAGATGCGAGCTAGACTCGTCGACAAGTTCGATAAACACCTCGAGGAAGCTCACACCGTTGGAAAGAAGATCTCCATTCTCTTTGGTCTCATGTTCTCTGCCGACTACACCATCATCTACCTCGGTTTCGGCCTCGCTTTCTGGCAGGGTGTGCGTATGCTCTCAACTGGCGAAATCAAAAGCTCGGGCGTCATCTTTACGGTTCTTCTCTCCGTTGTCATTGCGGCTGTTCAGCTGACCCAGCTCACCCCGTACACTATCGACTTCAGCCGTGCCATGTCTGGTGCAGCACAGCTTTTCACACTCATCGACCGAGCACCAGCTATCGACCCCCTTTCCAAGGATGGCGAGACACCATCCGAGACAGTTGGACATGTCGAGCTTGAGAATGTTTCGTTTGCCTATCCCACCAGACCTGGTGTCACTGTGCTTGGAGACTTCTCTCTTAACGTCCCTGCAGGCAAAGTCACGGCACTGGTAGGTCAATCAGGATCAGGCAAGAGCACTATTGTCGGTCTGATTGAGCGGTGGTACAACCCCAAATCTGGCACTATCAAATTGGACGGTCGTCCCATTGACAAGCTTAACCTCAACTGGCTCCGCCGAAACGTTCGGCTCGTCCAGCAGGAGCCTGTTCTCTTTGAGGGCTCCGTTTTCGACAACATTAAGCACGGTTTAGTTGGTACTGAGTGGGAGAATTCACCTGCTGAACAACAGATGGAACGAATCCAGGAAGCTGCCAAGATGGCTTTTGCTCACAATTTCATCATGGAACTTCCAGAAGGTTACAACACGCAAATCGGACAACGAGGTGGACTTCTCTCTGGTGGTCAGAAACAGCGTGTTGCTATTGCTCGCAGTGTCGTATCGCAGCCCAAAGTTCTTCTTCTTGACGAGGCTACAAGTGCTCTTGATCCCCACGCCGAGAGTGTCGTTCAACAAGCACTCGACAAAGCATCTGAAGGCCGTACTACCATCGTCATCGCTCACAAGCTCGCCACCATTCGCAAGGCTGATAACATCGTCGTCATGTCTAAGGGTTCTATTATCGAGCAGGGCTCTCACGAGTCCCTAATTGCTCAAGATGGTGCTTACGCTAAGCTCGTCAAGATTCAGAACCTTGCAGTTGAGAATGACCCCAATAATATTTCGACTGACGAAGAAGAGGAAGTTGCCCCTGAAGGAGACAAGGAAGAGCTCGGACTTAGCAAGACAGTTACCCAATACGGAACCCACGTCCAGGAGCGTCTCGAAGCTGGCAAGGAGCTTGGCAACTATGACAACCACAAACAAATGGGCATCTTCTACGTCGTCTATCGTCTGATTCGTGAGAGCCCAGAAGTTGCTTGGTCGTATTTCTTTGTTCTTGCGGGATGTTTAGGAGCTGTTGCAGCGTTCCCTGGTCAGGCCATTCTGCTTGCGCACGTTGTCGAAGTCTTCACCCTCACTGGTGACAGGATGAGAGACCGCGGCGATTTCTACGCAAGCATGTTCATCGTTCTCGCAGCCGGTTTGTTGGTGTCGTACTTTGCTCTTGGCTATGCTACCAACACCATCGCTCAGTTCCTCAGCCACAAACTTCGCAAGCAGAGCCTCCTGGATATGCTTCGTCAAGACCTTCAGTTCTTTGACCGCAAGGAAAACAGCACTGGTGCTCTGGCCAGTCGCGTTGACTCTAACCCCCAGTCGATCCTCGAGCTAATGGGCTTTAACGTGGCCCTCGTCCTCATTGCCATTCTCAACCTGGCTGCCTGCAGTCTCCTGGCTATAATTCACAGCTGGAAGCTGGGTCTGGTGGTCGTTTGCGCTGGTCTTCCTCCCTTGGTCAGCTCCGGTTACTTCAAGATTCGGCTCGACGCCAAGCTGGACCGGGACACCTCAAAACGATACTCTACCAGCGCTTCAATTGCTTCTGAGGCTATAACTGCCATTCGAACCGTTTCTTCTCTGGCCATTGAGGAGTCAGTCTTGGACAAGTATGTTGATGAGCTGAACCAAGCCGTTACTGGATCAAAGAACGACCTTTTCCGTATCATGATCTTCTTTGCTCTGACTCAATCAATTGAGTATTGGTTTCAAGCTCTTGGTTTCTGGTATGGGTGCCGTCTTCTCTCATATGGCGACATTTCCATGTACAATTTCTTTGTCGCTTTCTTGGGAGTCTTTTACTCTGGTCAGGCTTCTGCTCAGCTCTTCCAATTCTCAACCAGTATCACCAAGGGAGTTAACGCTGCCAACTACATATTCTGGCTCAATCAGCTCCAGCCCAACGTTCAAGAAACACCTGAGAATCGAGGTAACGGTCCCAAGTCTGGAGGTCCGGTTGTTTTGGATGATGTCCGATTCTCGTACCCTCTTCGGCCTCATGCCCCTGTTCTCCGCGGCATCGACTTAGATGTCAAGCCTGGACAATTTGTCGCGCTTGTTGGCGCATCGGGCTGTGGAAAGTCAACTATGATAGCTATGCTTGAACGTTTCTATGATCCGTCGAGCGGCACAATCAGCATTGCTAACTCGGCACTTCCCACGCTCAACCCTCGCCTCTACCGCCGCATCCTTGGTCTGGTTCAACAAGAGCCAACTCTTTTCCAGGGCACGATACGGGAAAACATTGCTCTTGGTGTCGATGATCCAGAGACCCAAGGTAAGGACCCTGCCACTGGGGTTCCTGACAAGCGGATCGAGGCAGCCCTTCGCGCAGCCAATGCATGGGACTTCGTCTCGTCTTTACCCGAAGGTCTCGATACACAGGCTGGATCAAACGGGGCGCAACTATCTGGAGGACAGAGACAGCGAATCGCCATTGCCCGAGCCCTTATTCGTGATCCCAAGGTTCTTCTCCTTGATGAAGCCACAAGTGCACTTGACACTGAGAGCGAGAAAATTGTACAAGGTGCATTGGCAGAAGCAGCAAAGGAAGGAGATCGCAT